GGGGGGGGAGGAGAGCTCACCACATTTATGCTCCTCCATAACAGCTACCAGATGAAAAGGGATGAAACCCAACTGCACAGGAAACAGGGTCACAGGCAGGGGAATCTGCTCTGAGAAGTTGGAAGACAACTGTCTGGAATCGGGTGTGGGCAGCCCAGGGGAGCGTGCCAAGTGGCTTGTCACTCAGCATCCTGCTCCAGGATTTTGGATGGGTGGCAACTCGAATGGAAAGCACGTCTGCCCATGCCGGCCGTGTGAATTCATCCCCTCTAGGATGCAGAGCTGTCGGCTGCCTAACAGGGCTCTGGGCTCGTAATGACCACAGAAGAGTATATCCCACTAGGCAGTTCTGTACTGAGGGTGGATTAACCCAACTCATAGCTGAATCCTTCAGAAACCCACCAGACCCTCTTGTTGACAAGAGGAGGGTTGGCCTGCTTGCTGCGTGTGGAGGGCCAGGGCTAGACAGACTGATACAGCCTACTGAGATTTAACCTCCTGTGCATGCACGGCTCACTGGCGCCCCCTGGGATCAGCCACCAACTGCAATTTAGCGGTTCTGTGACAGACCCCACCCCACACATGTGTAAAACAGTGCTCTAGCTGCCTGTGTGCAGCCTCCCAGGATGGGGGCAGGTGGAAATGCTGGGAAATGGATTTCTGCTCACTCTGACTTCTTCTGTCTCCGTTTATCCATAATCTCTGGGGCTGAACCTGCCACTATAAACGCTACCATCGTTAGCACAGGAAACGCAACTAGCAGAGTGTTAAGAGGGGAGTGCAAAAAACCAGCCAGTCATCACCAGGAGATTGTAGGCCACATACTCTGCTGGGCAGGAGAGGGGGGGGATTCTTATGCACAGCTCCCCTTCTTCTACTGCCTCCACTGCCTCTCTCTGCAGGAGCAGCTTTGACCCTGGAACCTTCATCCCCTCTGCAACATCACCCGTGTGCGCCACTGCCCCTCATTCCAGCCTTGCTGGAAGCCTCATCCACCACTTCATCTCCTCGAGCCTAGACCACTGTCAGAAGGGCTCCTCTCACAAGTGTTCCCTCCCCACTCGAATTTCTTGAAAGAGCAATCCCAAAACTCAAAGGAAAACCCAACACATTTTGCTGGGTGGCAGGTCAGGACCATGAGAAGCCGAGTTTCTCTTGGCTTCTGTTTGAATTCATGAACGGGCCCAGACTTGCTCAGAAAATCCTTTGATTGGTCTGGCTCGAGTGTCATATTGTTATAGAACCTAGAAGCTTAGCTCAGCCCTAAGCACAGCTCCACGCCCTGTGGCCTCCCTGAGTCCCAGCA